TGCTTAGTTGGTTGATATTTGTGCTTAAACGAATATTTTCATTGATGAAAATGTTTGAGGGAACAACGCTGATCCTTCAAACAATAACGAAACCTGAAAAGTACCGCCCTGTGATTGACTTCTGTAGGAGCGCGGAAGTCAGAGGTGGGAAGTTATTATCTGACAACATCGAAATTTGTATTGTCACCAAAGAAAATCAATACAGGCATTTTTGAGAAGATAAAGCCGAAGATGATTGAGGAATTGATAAACGACTGACAAAGAACTGCAGCTGTTTCGCAGTTTCAGTTCCGGTTGGCGATTCGTATTTCATAAATAACGTTTTTTGGACCGGTGAATAATAGTGGTTAAATATATGTGTTCATTTTTACTTTAGACGTATGGGTTCAAGCTGTAGCACAGCGTAAATGTTTGTTTTTCACTGTCAACTTTCGTGTGGAAGGAATTCACACCGATCGAGAAACGGGCTGTTGATGCTTGGGCATTACCGCTGCAATAGTCCGTGATCCATCACATAGTTGTATAGTTGCATTACATAGTTAAACCAGCTCGAGGTGTAAGAGGTACAATATGTATTCCTGTCTTTATGGCCGCTTCTTTGTCGAATTCGCTTTCAAATCAACGCATATCTTCTCATGCAAATGATAATTATCATAAAAAATAATGCAAATAACATCCTTATCAATTGGAATTACGTTCATTACTCATTAATATGTGAATGCATTTGTCTTACTTTTGTCTAATGCTTTAAATAGCTAAGGTTTTTCTCAGCCTGCTGTCTCCTAGAACGTTTAGGCGAAGTTTGATTTTTGACTCCTTGGTTCATGCTGCTTTTGATGATTAAAACATAAAACTCGCTTTTAATCAGCAATCAAAGGAGTCTAGGCAAATTGCAACCTTACAGGCACAGCATAACCTTACTTCTCTCTCATTCCGGCATTATGAATATCATGCGATGCTATGCCATGTCTGTTTTTCACAAATCAGCGACTTGGTATCAGTTTCTCAGCTGTTTGCACCGAAGTAATTTGTGGAGAATTCCTTGCTCATGAGAACCAGCTGGTAAAAGAAATTTTTCAGGATTCTAACCCTGCACCTTCGAGGCATGCAGCTGATTTCTTACTTCTGTATAATCTCTCACCAGGCCTAATTGACCGACGTCATTGGCGCTGAACAAGAACGTTGTACGTGCATCAACCAGCGTCAAGGCTATGCACTCTCAATTGCTTGTGTTCATTAATGGGCTAATCAGCCTGCAGCTAATTGAACCGGATGACTGTCTAATGGTTTTTATGTTAGTGAAATTAGTAAAAGGTATAACAAAAAATCTATGTATATTAGAAAGGCAGTTTAATGATTCACGGTTCCGGCCACCAAACACGGCAGGTGGTAAAAACTTTAGTCTAGAGGCAAGGGGACGGGACGTGCAATAGTGCTCTCGACGTAAAGTGGAAAAGAGATTTTTATTTTTTCTTTCTTTACACTGTGCATTTTCGCCGTTTCAATCCGGTATCATCATTTTTAATGTTAAAAAATCCCCCCAGAACATCGAAGTTATATATTGTCATGGTAAAAGCTTTACTGCCAACGTGTTTCATTGCATGGACCGTAGCACCATCAGGGCTGATCTGTGAGTACTACAAATCTTTACATACAATAAAACAGTTATTTGGTAGATGAAACTAAAATGAGATGTCGTACTATATTTCACAAACTTATTTTATGTTATGGATGACTGCCTTCTGACTAAAATAGTTCTAAATGGTATTCACTTGCACAGCTGTTGCCGGAACTTAACAACAAGTCAACAGTAAATTAAGCGAAAAATAATTATTTCGTGTTGGAGTAATTAAACAGTGTTAAAACAGACCACAGACCTACAGAAAGCGAGGATAAAGCAGTCAAGCAAAAATTTAAATCTGAGTCTATAAGAGATGTTAAAGCGAAAGATTCGATCTGGATTAAAAAAAACGTCCCAAAAAGAGAATGGAAATATATTCATAAGCTTACTTTTTCGAAAAGACCGCTCCGGTGGTAGACGCGCTGGAGGACAGTAGATCTCATTGACAATAATCTATTTGCGACTAAGAATATCACCTTTGCCGTGGCAGTGAACGTTGCCCAATATCAATCTGAAGTATCATTACTAACAGCCAGAGGCTAAAAATCTGGGTTATTACTCTGTTTAGCTTTCTACCCTCAGATGCAAACAATAACAATGAAATGTAATCAATTTTCATATTTATTTCACACTCTTAGACCCGTAAGTTCCCGTGACACCTTAATAGATTTTTAATAATATTGCAGACTTCGACCTTCAATCATCAAGCTGCAGTTAACGACTGGTCGAGTGGTGAATTTATCAACTGCTGACTCACGCGCTGTGATTCGCCCAATTATAGCCTAAGAATAGCAAGAATTCTGTCAGTGCTCTCTGAAGACTTTCTGTGACATGAAAATGAAGAAGTAGTGAACTTAATCTTTCTCTCACAAGACTTCCAAATCTATCTTCAACTACCAAGCTCTGTGAAAGAAATGAAGGAAACTTCTCAACCGTTAGAATGTCGCCGTCTTTATACTTTCGTGATAGGGACATTTATGGTGCCCTTCTTTTCATGAGGTTAATAGTGGGGCAATGATCTCTATTTTCGTGCCATCAGCTAGGAGTACCGTATTTTAAAGGCATTGTTAACAGCAGTCATTTTGCAAGCATAGTTTGCAGTTCCCTGTTTACTGTTCACAGAGTGGTATTCAGTTTCTTACCCTCGGAAGGAAGAAAGGCAAGTGACTCTGACTGAAACTGGAATTGGTACCTCTCGATTCTGAGTTCGACGCTCTACCGACTAAGCAACGTGGGGCAACTTCCTTACTCATGGGAATTCATGTTAAGACAATGATTGCTCCTCGTCCTAATCGAATCCAACATCTTCATAGTTCAAGGCAGATCTCATGGGCACAGAGCAACCTCGCTCTACGTTTAAAAGATAGATAGCATGAGGCACTACTTCCATCGTCTTTTGTGATCCTCATGGCAAAATGGTGAACAGATTTAGTCACTGCCTAAGGTCCTTCACTCAACGTCGTTTTGATAGTAATTTCAGTCAAGATGCCGAATTAGGCCATGTAGTATCATTTTTCAGAATCTGTTCCTCATCGCCATCCCTCATCATAAAGTCATTACGTTCACAGCTGTTTGGTAAGTAAGTGGTGCTATGGTCCATCAGGAGGTTCGTTGCATTTTCCTTTAACACCAGATCTGGGAAACTAGCGGATTTTGCGTCCTTCATGCCTCACCATTCACCTTCACATTCAATCTTGCGAACATTCTTTGCTTCACAGATGCCTTCTTGATTGTGTTTTTGTACACTGTCTTCAAACCAAACTGACCGCGCTGTTTCAGCCTGAAGATCAAAACGCACCAAACATTCGATGGTGGTTTGTTCAACCACCATAGGCAGTACAGTACTTCCGGTATAAAAATAAACTTACGGGCAAACAAGAAAGCCACCTCTGTTTCAATCAGCGTACGTAGTTTCAGATGCAAATCAGTAACTTTGTGAATCATGGCCCTGCTTTGTAGCTTCAGGATGCTACTAATAATTTTTGTGTGCCTGCCAGTACCGTAATTTAGGAAAGAAGCTTCTGGAAAGCTGTACTAAAAGTGGTCAGTGCATTAGTCCATTTTCAATGTGTGATGGAAGCAAGTGTGTTTGTCAAAAGGGGTTCAAGGAGAAGAACGGCGCTTGTGTGCCTCGCAGTAAGCGATGACGAACTACGCCTTATTCTGCTTCCAAAGTGGTTTTCAACTTGCAGAGTATTCGTGTATGTCAGAGACACAACCGCTTAAAGGCGAAGACGGTTCTGTCAGCGTCTGTCGATTGGTCAACGGCGAGGACACTTGTCCAACAGGCAGCTATTGTGTCTCGTTCAGTGAGCGACACGACGTCGCTCAGTGTCACGAGACCATGGTACAATACGGTAGTGACAAATGCCGACTTACTGTCTGTACACCCTTGTGCTGCTCTGGTTGGTTTAGGCATCTGTTGTCCGACTCCGGAGGCTAACGTAATGCCCAATCCAAAATGCCCGGTTGGCGACACTTTCGTCAACTTCACCGAGTGCCAAAACTTCGAGCTGTACAGATTTCATTACGACCCACATGTGCATTCGAACGCTAAGGTGTGCTGCGTCCGCGCGTGCCCCTTCAACTTCGTCTACGTGGAGGGTGAATGCTATCCGATCAGATTCCTTCCCGGGGAACCGTGTACCGTTGACGAACAGTGCAACTGCGGATATTGCAAAGGTTCGACTTGGTGGTGAACATGTGCCTTCCTGATCGTATCTACGTTTAGATGGTGTATGTGCCTGTAAAAACAAATACCTCGAACTGTACGGAAAGTGTTACGGTAAGGAGTCACTCTCTTCCTTTACAGACCTCAACCGTCCGTCATTGATTTCTGTAGAAAAAAGATGTCTGTTCAGCGACCATCCAGTTCAAGACGAAAAACGGTGCTCCAGGGAAGCACCTGAGTGCCCGGAACACCATATCTGCATCCAGGAACTAAATCTGTGCTGCATGCCGTCGCCAGTATTCGGTGCGAGATAACGCAGTGAAGATCACCGTGTTCCTTGGTGTCCGTGCATGAGGCCTGCTTCTGCAACTGATGCTCTATTTCACATTACCGAAAGGAACGTTTCGAATTTGTCTGTTGCGCTTATTACTATTATAATGTTTAATGTTGCCATGGGTACTACTCTTTGAGGTATGAAAAACTTGATATACCTTCGAAAATTTTTACCGTAGTCGATGAGACTGAGATGGTCATAAAGTTTAACGTCCATCAACTGCTTACAGTATGAATTTTCCAAAAAAATAAACAAAAGAAAATATTTCAGCTGACTAAAGTCAGTCTTCAACCAATCACAGAGTGGCAATAAAAATGTACAAACCAAGGAGATATGTAGGACAGCAGGTTGCAATTTCGAGATAAACAACAGGATAAGCTTAAGCGTAAGACTTAGCTTTCAAGTGTCTCATTGTGAAGAAGACTCTGCACTTT